CAACTGGGCTTGGAGCTATTTTGAAGTCCAGGTTAAAAATTGTTTTACTCATTAATATTCTAATTCGTTCAATAGATTTCATTGTCAAGCTACTGGTGTTCTGTATAACCAAATGTTTAAAGCCCCCCTACAAAAATTCTAGCAATGGTTGAATGGATAATGAAAATGCATCATGCCATTGCATCCCCTCATATTGAATATTGTATTAGTGGTGAGAAGGGGGATATTTGTCTTGTGCCTGAGAGTACAGGAAGAGCTTCCAGCTTCTCACCATTGAGTATGTGTTAGCTGTGGGCTTGTCCCATACACCCCTTATGAAGTTGCGTTAAGTTCCTTCTATATCTAGTTTGTTGAGAATTTTTATAAGTTGGTGTTGAATTTTTGTCCCATGCTTTTTCTGTATCTGTTAAGATTATTATATGGTATTTGTGCTTGATTTTGTTGATTGGATAAATCATTGTTTTGCTAATGTTGAACCACCTTTGCATCTCTGGCATAAATCCTACTTGATCACGTGGTACAAGCATTTTAGTGTATTGTTAGTTTTGGTTTGCTAGTGTTTTGTTGAAAAATTTTCCATGGTCTTTAGGGATATTGGCCTGTGATACTGGTTTGTTTTGGTTTTTTGTAATGTCTTTGTCTGGTTTTGATATCAGGGTAATGCTAGCCTCAAAGAATGTTTGGGAGTCTTCCCTCCTCAATATTTTGGGAATAGTTTGAGAAAGATATGTATGAATTCTTTAAAGGTTTGGTAGAATTCACCTGTGAAGCCATCTGGTTCTGGACTTTTGTTCATTTGGAGTTTTTTGATTACTGTTCCAATCTCATTACTAATAGGTCTGTTCAAATTTTCTGTTTCTTTCTGGTTGAGTCTTGGAAGGTTGTATGTTTCTAGAAATTTGTCAATTTCTTCTGGACTAATTTGTTGACATATAATTATTCACAGCATTCTTTTTTTTTGTTGTTTGTTTCTTTAAGTATTACGAGTCAACTATATGCTTTACTGGCAGCAGATACAGGGCCAGAAGTTCATAAATGCTCATACAAGTATAAAAAAACACCACAACTTACACATACTTTACCTGATTTCAAGCCTCCTTGTTGGTACATAGAATGCTTTATAGTATTGACCTCATCTTTGTTCACACTGACTTCAGTGGGTTGTATTTGGGTTTCCATGCTTGAGTATCTGCCCAATTCCTGCGGTTGCTGTTGGTTTGCTTTCCTTCAGGATCAAGGTAGGTACTTTCATATAAAATCTTATATTTAATTCCTTCTCTGGCTGTTCTTCCCTGGGTTCTTAGCTTTGCATAATTATACTTATGATGGAACTAGCATCCTAAAGTCACCAAGACAACTGCTCCAACTGCAACATCATATCATCTTCTCATTTTACTAGTTAACAAAAAAATGTGCAGAGCCAGCCACAGCAGATCCTTACGCACCAAGCAGTACTGAGCCCCATGCGCAGGGCGTGTTCCCAACATCTGACACTCATGGGCGGCTCTGGGGACAAGCTGGACACCCTAGACCTGCCCTGCCTGCGCTGAGGGCTGCCTTCATAGTATTCTTTAATGATCCTTTGTACTTCTGTAGTGTTAGTGGTAATCTCTCCTCTTTCATTCCTGATTTTATTTACTTGGGCTGTTTTTTTCTTGGAGTCTTGTTGGAGATTTTTTCCATTTTATTTATCTCTTCAATCAGTTCTTAATTTCATTGAACTTTTTAATAGTTCTCTAAGTCTATCTTATTTCCACTCTGATGTTTGTTTCCCTCCTCTATTTGTGTTTTGATTGTACTTCTTTTTCTAGTTCCTTTAGGTGTAGTTAGATTGTATATGGGATTTTCCCTACTTCTGGAGGTAGGCTTGCATTACCTATTAATTTTCCTCTTACAATTGCTTTTGCTTTACCACGTAAGGTTTGACAAGTTGTTTTCATTTTTCTCAAAGCAGTTTTTGATTTCCTGTTTGATTTCCTCTTGGATTCATCAGTTGTTTAGTAACATATTGTTTAATCTCCATGTTGTGTTTTTTCCAGTTTCCTTCCTGTAGTTGGTCCTAGTTTCATCCATTGTGGTCAGAAGATATGCTTGATAAAATTCTTGAATTTATCAAGGCTTATTTGTGGCCTAACATATGGTCTAGCCTAAAATTGTCTATTAAATCTGTTCCAATGTGGCATTTAAGGCCATTATTTTCTTTTTTCCTCCATTTAAAATTTTTATTGTATTTCTTCCCATTACCATTTATCCCCTTATACCCTGCCTTTCCCGCACTCACCACACTGCTAGTAACGTCTGAGTCCTCGTTTTTTGCTCAATCCTCCTCCCCTCTAAACACACCCCCTCCCAGAGCTGTCAGCCGGCTCTCTCCGAGTCTGTCTCTGTTTTGAAGCCATTAAAGTCCCCAACTATTGATATTACAGTATTAGTAGTTTCTGCCTTTTGTGTCCATTAATATCTGCTTTATAGACTTGGGTGCTCCTGTGTTGGCTGCATACTTAGGATAGTTATATCCTCCTCTTGGGGTTGACCCCTTTATCATTACTTAATGTCCTTCTTTATCTCTTTTTATTCTTTGTTTTAAAGCCTATTTTGTCTGATGTATTGCTACCCCAGCTTTATTTTCATTTCTAATGAAAAGAAAGTACCTATTAAAATCCCTTCACTTTCCATCCATGTGTCTTTCAGTCTTAAGTGAGTCTCTTATAGGCAGCATATAGATGGGTCTTTTCTTTTTTTAATCCATCCTGGCACTCTGTGTCATTTGATTGGAGAACTTAGTCCATTTACATTTAAAGTAATTATTGGTGGATATGTACTTCCACTTTTTGTTTTGGTGGTTTTTATTCTCCTCTTGATCTCTTTCCTCTTGGTTTGCTGGTTTCTTTCAGTAGTTTGTTTTGTTGGGTTTCTTTCTCTTTATTTTTGTAGATTTTTGTTTGTGGTTACCATGAGGTGTGTGTGTGTATCCAACTCTCTCTATAACAGTCTATTTTAAGCTGACAGGCATTTAAGTTCAAACACATTCTAAAAGCACTAAATTTTCACTCTTCCCACACTTTATTTTTGATGTCATATTTTATCTTGTTTTCTGTAGCTATTATAGTTAATTTTGCTTTTTTAAAAATCTTGTGAGATTTATGAATGGCAGACTCAGTGTTAATTCTGTACTTGCCTTTATCTGTGATGGGTCCCCCTGTACTTTCTTATTTTTGGCATGGACTCTTCTGTATAAAGATTATTTAACATTTCTTAGCCTGTTTAATGGTGATGAACTTTTTAAGTTTTTGCTGATCTGGGAAATTCTCTCTCCTTCAGTTCAGAGTGATAGCCTTGTCAGGTACACTAGGGAGTAGGTTCCTTCCTTTCAGCATCTAAATGTTTCCTGCCACTCCTCTCTGGCATGTAATGTTGCTGCTAAGAAATCAACTCATGGCCTTTGGGGACTTCCTTTGTATGTAATTCATTGTTTCCCCCTTGCTTCTTTCAAGATTGGGCTTTTATCTTTAATTTGTCCATTGAAATCCAGTATCTTGGTGTGGGCATCTTTGGGTTTATCTTGTTGGGACTCCATGTGCTTCCTGGACCCAGATGTCTTTTTCCTTCCTCAATTGGGAAAGTCTTCCACCAGTATTTCTTCAAATATGTGCTTTCTCCTCCTTCTGGGATGCCAATGATGTGAACGTTAGTGTGCCTGTTACCCCTCAGTGCCTCATACTATCTCCATTTTCCTAAATTCTTTTTTCGCTGTTGTGATTGGTGATTTCTAGCATCCTTACAGATCACTGACCCATTCTTCTGTATGAACCAATCTGATGTCAGTTCCTTCTAGTGTGTTCTTCATTTGTTACTGTATTCTTCATCTGACTGGTTATCTTATTTTCCTTTTTGAAATTCTGAGTCCCTTTATTCAACCTTCCAGTTTATTGAGCATCCTTATGACAGTCTCTTCAAATTCTTTATCAAGCAAATTATTTTTCTCAATTTCTTTAGCTTTTGTTTTCTTGTGTCCATGAGTTAAATGATATAACTCATTTAACTCCCAATCTTGAAAAGCTGGTCTTGTGGTAAGGGAGTCTGTGTAGACTGGGTGGTTTGGCAGGCTGGGTGAAGTTGGGGTGGGCGTGTGCAGTGCATGTGGTAGTGCCCTATTGTTCTGGCTGTCCACAGCCAGGCCTGGGTCAGGGAGGGGCAGCACTGTGTGTGTGCACTGCAGAGCCCTGCTGGCTCCACTCTCCATCCAGGCGGGGCTGCCTGGTGTGTGCAGAAGGCACACCCTGTTGTTTTGATTGACTGTGGCTGGAGCTGGCCTGAGGAAACCTGACCCCACAGTTCTGCATGGCAATGCAGAACTCCGCTGGTTCCCTCTTGCTCGAGGTAGGGCTTCCTGCTGTGTGGCTTGCCCTGTCATTTTGATTGACTGCTGTCAGCCCTCTCCCACTCTGGCAGAGGCCTCCCTCTACATGTGAGTACACAGGGTCCACTCTTGTCCTGATAGCTGCCTGTCTACACAGCCCCACAAGTGCATGCTGCAGCACTCTGCTGGTTCCCTCACTCTGCGTGGGCCCCTCTTTGTGTACTCACAAGGCATATTGTTGCTTTGACTGTTGTGGAGGTCTGCGCAGGACCACTGCCTGGGCAAGAGCATAGCAGTGCCCTGCTAAATCCCTGAAATCACTCAGGATGGGACTGTCTAGCATATATGCACTGTGGTTCCTCCCTGATGGTTCTGTTTGGCTCCGGGTGGGGCAGCCCAGTGGGTGTGCACAGCAGTAGCTGAGCTTCAGTGCCCTGTTGGGCCAGTGGGTCTAATCAAGAATGGTGGTGGTAGGGGCTGTGCACGCTTGCTGCGGCGCCCTCTTCCTGCTGGAGCTGGTTCTAGGAGGGGTGACTGGGGATGCAGTGCTGTGGCCCTGCACGCTGGCCAGAGCACACGGGCAGAGCTCTCACCCGTGCTACCCACGCGTAAGGAGGGTGCACACAATGGCGCTTACCAGCTCCTCCAATCCCGGTGAGTTCCCCGAGATTCTGGAGAGCTCCTGTAGGCCTCCCTGCTTCTCCGGGGAGCCTCCTCTTCAGCTGTCCCATAGCCATGTCCCAGAGATGGCTCCTCTAGACACAGATGTGCATTCGGTGTGTCCTCTCACACTGCCATCTTGGACCACAGGCCACCCCGTGAGTAATCCCAGGTGGAGCCACCTCCCAATTTAAGAACACAGCCTGCACCCAGGAAAAGAAGAACGGCCTCTATGTGCAGAGAGAAAGCGGCCAGTACATGCACCTGCCGATGGGAGAGCACGCACATACTTGCGTGAGGTCAATCACGGTCCAGGGCTAAGTGAAGGTGGAGGAAATGAAAGAACCCCGACTCTCGTGCTCTTCTCTCCCGCATGGTCACGAACAAACTGCAGGAGGGGACACACCACGCTGGCTGACGTCGTTCTCCGTCTCAACGTTATGCCAGGGGAGGCAAACCGGGTGAGTAAAAGGGGGGCCACCTTTCTACGTGTAATAAAGCACATACGACCCCGACCCTCACACATACCCATCACAAACAAGATACCTTATAGAAAAACAAAGAAAACCTTCCACTTTAATTGTGATTTGACCTGATTTACACACCAACGCCATATTTTAATCTACTCACTAGTCTGCTTGCAACTGTCAGAACTGTTAGGCCGAGTGAAACCTCCTTGGTTCAGAAGCCCTTCAAAGACTTAACCTGCCCACTCGGAAGGAGGCCTGGGGATGCTGTGGCTCGCTGGGTGATGACCAAGGCCAGCTTCTCCTGGGCCACCCTGGTGTCACCTCCTCAGCTCGAGGCGCATGGGCTTCATGTAGAAGAGGGGAAAAAACGTCTCTTCCCCAATTGATACACAACTTTTTTTTCTTATTAACACTGTGCCGTAGAGATGTGCTGCAGGTCTGCTCTAAGCACAGACAGCCGGAGGGAAAGCACAGTTTTGCATAGACGACACTACAGACTGTGGGAAAGGGTTCGCCCCAGTCCCGCCCCACTGTCACCGGAGCTTGGCTCACAGGGACAACCACCACTTTCCCAACACACTGGGGAAAAGTCCAGCCCTGGTGTCACCAGTGTCTCCATTTGCTTGGTCACTCAGGTAGTTGTTCTGATGATGCCAGGAGCACGTGACTGACCGAAAAGTGCTGCGGAGGAGCGGAAGGAAGGGTGTCAGAACAGGAGGACGAGGACACGGGATGGTAATGACTTACAGCAGACAGTCAACAGAACAACAACAAAAGGGGTAACTCTGTCCAAGGCCGAGGGTATAAAACTAGTAGCTCTGGAGACTCAATTCAACGAACTCAATTCAACGAACAAGTGCAGTCCCGAATACTCTGGTAAACAAGACAGAAGTAACGAACGGCTGTCCGACAGCAGACAGCCATTCTTTTCCCCCATTCAGGGTCGAGAGGTTTCTATTCGGAGCCCACCCACGTAGGCCTGTAAAGCCGTGTGAAATCCGAGATGACCCGGCCTTCTGAAGATTCTCTGGTACGTGGCCGGCTCGGTGCTGGGGGCTAATTCAGCGTGAACAGAAGTGAAACAACAGCCAGACCTGTGTCGGACCCCGGCTCACGGCCACGCTGGCCCCCCAGGCAGACCTCAGTTCTTCTTGTCCTCCTTCCACGGCTGGCTTTTTGTGGTCCCCAGGCTGTTCCACACCTCTGTGTACATCAGCGTCCCAATGAAGACGAACGAGGTGCCCAGCCAGTGCCACAGAGTGAACGGGTTCTGGAAGTACAGGATGGAGAAGATGAGACTCACGAACTTGCGCAGAGTCACAACGAGGGTGACGGTGAGGGAGGTGCACTCTGTGGTGAGGGTGAAGACGCCCCGGATGCACACATACCTGGAGAGGCGGGGTTAAGGGAGTTTCCTGGGGATGAAGTGTGGAGAGGAAAACCTCCTGGCGTGGCTCTTGGCTTAAATGTTCACATTCTAAGACCCAGAACACCTGGGGGTTGTCCGCGGCAGCTCTGAGGCTCCCTGCAGAATTCCTGCCCCGCCATCCATTTGTGGGTCCCACCTCAAATCTGCCTATAACCTCCCACTGTTCTTATTCTGGATTCTTCCCACAGTTTATGGTGAAGGTCAGCTCCCAGGAAATGACCAGGGGGTCACCCCCTGGGTCCCAGGACAGGTCCTCACGCCCACCTTTATTTGACCTGGCCCCCCAGTCCAAGAACTAAGTTTGACCTCATTCTGCCCACGTCACCTCATTAGATTTGCCCTACAATCTACCTGACTGTTTCAAAGACTTAATTCTTTCCTAATGGCCTTAAGGTCATTCAAAAGAAGCATTTTTTTTAAACAATTAAGTTTAAATTTTGAAATTTCTTTGAGTCTTGTGACAGCTCGTGACATACGCAGGCCACTAGAACACGCAGGCCGTGCTCCAGTTCCTGCTTCTCCCCGACTTCAGCACTGGGCCCAGAGCATGTCCTTCCACTGCCCGTGACCTGCTGACCTGTGGCACCGCTGGCATCTGTTTGGCCCTCAACAGAAGAGCTCTCCGGGGGCGCCTCTCTTGCTTTACTGCCGAGCAGATCAAAGCGGCAGTGAAACGCATGCCGCGGCACTGTTAGAGGAATAAACACCCCCACACCGAAACCACCCCGAGAGGGCACGCGGCCGAGCAGCACAAAGGATACTGGGTAGCGACATTCATGAGGAGGTAGAACCACATGACGGGCACTGTCACCCCGACGACGGGAACTTGGTATGACTCTGCGGAGATGAAGAGGGGAGATGACCGTATCACTTGAACAGCTGACATCTTCACCTTTCCGAACAGTAACGCAGACTGAACGTAACAGAGACAGCAGTGCTGTCTCCCTCGCGAACAGGTTTGGACCAAACACCCCCTTACTTGCCTCAATTCCAGGCTACGTTGGCCTCAAGTGTCACTACACTGCTTTCTTAAAACAAATGACAGTTTATCTCAATTTTAAAGTAAATTCTTTACCGGTCACCCAAACAGGACCCTGCTTTTCAGAGAAGGCTGTGAAGCCCAGAGAAGTTCAAGTGATGTGGTCCTTAACTGACAGCAGCAGCGGAAAGACCACCAGTAAGTAAATGCCACGTGGAGATGCTGTCAGTCCTACTAGTGATCAAGGAATTTGAAATTAAACTAGACTGTAGCACTGTATAGCTATGAAGTTAGCAATGAAAAACTTACAACCAGTATTCTCATCTAGCAAAGGTAAAAGTGGAATAGCAGCCACTTGGTGGTCATATAAATTGGTAATGTTTTTTTAAAAAAATCAATTTGGCAGTTCCTACAAGTATTGATACTAATTCGTAGGAATTAATCTTAGATAATTCAAAAAAAAAGGTTCTCCATTCACTGCAGGGCAACTTACAATAAGGAAAAACTCCAAATGCCCAGGAATAGAGTGATGGCCACATGAGCAAAGGCGCTGTGACCAGATGAGGCATTGGACACGAATGTTCTACTTAAAAAATCCAAGGGTCCCTCCCAGTCACATAAACACTCACAATGAAAGTGAAAAAGGAAGTATTCTATGTACACAAGGGTTCCGAGTACGTTAGGACTTAGAGTGTCTGGAAGGACAGAGGTGATGTGAAGTCAGCTGGCGTGTAGGGTGATGGAAATTTGACTTCTTTTAGGTCATTCTCATGTCAGTTGCACATAGACTACCTGGGAGCAGACTAAACGCCCAAATGAAAGGGAATGAGGACGCAGGAGCCCCCTAAGGGCCGTTTCTTTCATGTGGCTCAGTGGTTTCTGGAGTCTGAAACACACAAGCATCCCTAGGAAATTCCCACAGGTGGTGCCACGAGATTCAGTTAGGAAAAGAGCATCAATTTTCTTTTGCAAAAAAATAATAAAAAGCCACCAAAAGCGGTGAATGGGTAGAACTGTAGGCCTGCACTGGTGGGAAGTCCCAGTAACGTGGTATTCTGTGGTCTCTAAAACACCGAGCGGGTGTTGAAATGCAAAGTTAACAAACATTAATAACTTCAGGGATCCACTGTATCAGTCTGCTGAGGGGAGAGACTATCAGTATGACTTAAAGTAACCCAGCTCTCAGAAAAATCACGGATAAATGTACATTTAAGGACAGTTCTGAAAAAGTTAAACTCTAAAAAAAAAATATAAATACACAGAGCTGCAACTTTTAGAAGCAGCATTCTAGTAACTAAATCAAAACCAGTCCTAAGATTTGATAGTGTGTTTATTTAAATAGCCCTTTCCTGTGTGGGGACTGTCAGAAACCTTAAAAACCACTGTGTCAAAAATCAGCTATGTGCCAATGATATCTCCATTAAAAAGACCCAGAAACGAGTAATTCAGAGCCTTAAACATTTTCTTTCCCACGACCTGCATCCCACGTCTCTTGCAGGACAAGGTGGGAGAGGCAACGCGGCACCACCGCCCAACTCACATGCAGATGCCTCCGAGCACCCCCGCCCGCTCTACAGGACACACCCTTCAGGTATGAGGGGCATGAAGCCTGCCTTGTGTGTTCATTTGTCTAGATGACACGAGGTCTTTTAGTAGCTGCTCAGGTCACATAAGTCATTTATTTCAAGTTAACAGGCATTTTATAGCTAATTAACTAGTCACTTTAAGAAGTAATAGCTAACTTATACTGTAGACTTGAGTTGAGTTTGTTTATTCCTGCGGCCTTTTTAACCTGTCTCTTGGAAAAGGAGCCCTGTCATCATTTCTGCTGCCCCCGTCCCCCGGTGGCTGGCACTGGGTCTGCCTGTCAGGGCAGACCAGGACCACCGGGCTCAGAGACGGCTGGCCCGCTGGCCACCCTCTGGTGGCTCCAGTCTCTGCAGTGGGTTGTCACTATTAGCATTCTCAGAACATCAAAGCTTCCACGTTCAAATGCAAGCACACATATTCCAAAGACAGTCTTCTCTTACTTCACTTGCAAATAACTGAGAAGCACCTGTAAAAGCTTTTACTGCCACAACTGCTGAGTCGTGGCACTATGTCCCTGGACGGTGGGATGGGGACAGTTTCAAGTGGGCAGGATGATTTGCATTAAAAAAGGAACGGTCAAGAGTAACACGGAAACTGGCAGGTAATTCCACTGGGTGGCCCGAAACTCACCAGACTTATTGAAAAGGACGGCGTGGCTGTAGATATCAGAAGCCAAGAAGATGAATCCAGGCAGGGGAAGGGCATGCTATGCGAAGAAATAATTCACATAAATTGAAATGCAAAATCATTGTAGAAATAATGAGCATAGTGTTACAATGATCCAAAGTTTTTCAGATTGTTTGACGTGCAATATCAAGAAAAGTTAGACTTCCAAGTTCAGTGTACACAGTGCATCTAACCACCTGGCCCTGTATGGCACAGTCACCCCCAAGATACGGTCCTTACCTTACGGGGTGTGATGGTCATCTCACACACGCATGCACGCATGAAGCCAGCATCCCTCCCTCAACAAAAGGGAATGGGAGATTTAAACACACAGTCCTCTATCCAAAGGATTTGTCATGTTTTACTGTTTTTGAGAACAGTCAAGTATAATGAATTAAAAAATTATAAAGCATGTGAAGGTGGATTTTAAGGAGGTCGAAGACAGTTAACGATGTCAGGGGAAAAGGTGAAAACAAGAATAAAAGGAAGAGGAAACAAAAGGTAAGCAAAGGCTGATGTACTTGGCAGTGACCCTACCACAGCAATTTAATGCAGAACCACAGGAGCGCTTCCTCAGCAGTTACCACGTGCCACTGACTGCTCTGAAGGACTGAGGCGAAACCAATGGGACGCACGTTTATTTTTTAAGTGCCCAGCTGCACACTCGAGCTCCTCCTACGTATGTCAGACTGCTTATCTGCAACGTCAGGGCAGAAAGTTGTCAGTGAAGGACAACTGTATCACCTTGACCTTGAGGGGCTGTGCTGTGGGCATTATCCCATCGGGGGTGAGGGAAAAAGAGAGGAGGCAGAGGAGGAGGCTCCAGGTCAGCAGTTTAATGCAAAGAAGCTCGTGTACCTAACTGCTATTTAAACTCTCCATAAAGTGAATAAAGCCCCTCTGAAGGCCTTACTCCCTCACACTCTCAAAGGCCCGCCAGCGCCTATTCCCCGAGGTATGTTGTTTCTGCAACTTATTTTCCTCGTCTAGTTTCCCTGTTAGTTTGAACCTGGTTCCACCCGCAGGAACAGGGCGGTGAAGGTTCCTTGTCTCTGCAGGAGTCCCTGGTGAGCAGACGCGTTCTGCTCACACTGACCGACCCTGCAGAGAACTGTGGCTCAAACGCACCCTGGCAGCCCATGGGAGGTGCTTCAGCCTGCGGGGTGAAGCAGTAGCCGGACAATAAGTTGATCCTTCAACTGCATCAGAAGGATGGCAGCTACACTTGCAGTAACGTATTATGGTGACGATAACTCCATGACTTCTACCCTCCCCAGGTTTAAGCGGTGGCTCACATTATAGAACAAAGCCTCCTTGGAGTGTTTCCCGAACTGCTTGTACAGAGTCTCCTGGAAAATGCCCATCCTGGCGGACGTCAGAAGAGCGAAGGTCAAGGCTCCAATGCCTGCAAGACATGGGTCAGGTTACAGGATACTTGCATTTGCACATTTCCAGATATTTTCTTAAAGAACATTTACTGGTTGCTTCCATGCACCACAAATGTTACAAACTAATTGTAGAGTATGGACAAAATTTTAAAAAGAAGTAAAAGTCAACCGTAATATTACCATCCAGTGCTTTAGTTTTCTCCATCTCTCTAAATACATTTGTGTGTATTTTATGCTTCACCAGGATCATCATGAGTACACAATTTCTTATCCTGCTTTTTTTGGTGATCTTTCTCCTGGATTTTCCTTCAGGTAATTCATTAAAATTTCAAAAACTATGTTTGAATGGCTGTATTGCTCTATCATGTGGATGTACCATACTTAAATGTCTTATGAGAATGATTACATTGCTTCCAAGTATTTCCTCATTAAAATCAATGTACATCCTTGTACATAAATTAAAATGTTGATTATTTCCTGTCCTGGCTGGTGAAGCTCAATGGACTGAGCACAGGCCTGCAAAAGGCAACCACACATTGATGTTTCTCTCTCCCTCTTTCTCCTTCCCTTGCTCTCCCTCTAAAAATAAAAATACCTTTAAAAATGTTGATTATTTCCTTAGAATAAACTCTCATACATGGACTTACTGAGTCAGAAGTTATAGACCTTTTAAAAACTCAATACGTGGTTTTTTTCCAAGAAAGGCTATATCAATTTATACTGTAAACAGTTTATGTGAAAATGATTTTCTTGCTGCAACCTCAGCAGTGAGAACAATCATTTATTATCTTGCCAATATAATGGATCAAAAATAAAAATTAGACTAATGAAGCTGAACATAAAATTATTGGACATTAATTTTTCTCCATGACGTTCAGATCCTTGCAAACTGTTTTTATTGGATAAAGTATTCTTCTACTGTTTTGTAAAGATCTTTCTATGTTAAGAACAGCAATCTAGAGGGGTAAATTTTCAAAGCCAACAAGCAGGGAGAGCTTCTCTCACTGCTATTTCTCCTCTACTTGGTCCTTGCTACCACGACTGCACTGGCTGCACTGGGAGAGCGTTTCACCTCCGCGTTGCACAAGGTGAGGGCCGGCTCTGCAGGAGCTGCCCCGGTAATTCCACAAAGAGACACTCCCACCTTAAACGATTCCCCAGGGCATTCTGTGGATTGGTCAGGTTTGGGGACACCACCATATGGAGGAGCTAACTTCTGAAGAAAATAAATCTAAGGCTGAGAAATGGGCCCCCTGGGAATTTCAACAGCCAACCGCGGCAACCTGCCCTTCTCCCGAAGAAGCCCCTGCTCGGCAGACGGACCACGAAGAGGCGGACGACCCTCCAAGCCCCGCTCCCAGAGAGAGTGCTGGGCAAGCAGGCCTGTCCTTCCCTTTCTGTACCCGTGGTGACCAGGAAAAACACGGATCCATGTCACAGAACACATGCCCATGAACCTGGACATTTTCTTTTTTCATTTCTAGAACACTAGGTTCGGAGATATATGATCCCAGGTGCCTCTCTTCTGCGGCATAATTTGTTTAGCTAAAGCTCCTCGCCAAGAAACACATCCCTTAGGAGAAAACTCAGCAAACAGAACTGCAAAGGCAATTATCTTGATTGTAATTACTGTACTTACCTAGTAACCACCATGTGAATGCCTGGAATCCGTCACTCAAGCTGGACTGCGAAGTCTAGGAAATAAGAAAAACACCAGGTACAGAGGCCAGAGCTACAGGCAGTGGGCCCGGGCACAGGGACACGTGCGAGCCACTTCCCTCCCCTCTTCCTCGCATCATGTACAAGGACCTGGTACCGGGGCCCCTGAGGTCTGTGGTGAATGTAAGTGGTTTGTGACCCCTTCTTACCACTTGCTTTGCTGACATGGAGGTGCAGATAAATATCCCCACAGACACCAGGGCGATGGAAGTGTATTTGAACATACTGTATCTGCGAAAAGAACAAGAACACCTCAGGAGAGCACAGGCACCAATTTCCACGTGCTGTTTTCCGTCACGGTGCCTGAGAGGACAAATCACCAAAAAACGATGGAGGGGGTCACTTCCCAGCCGAGTCCATGTAAATCTGTGTGCAGAAGAACCGGGGTGCCCGCTGGTGGCTGCACAACACGCTTTCTTGGCGCTGCTTAAAACAGTGTCTAATAGTTTGCATACCAACAGACTGTCTCATCAGAAAATTTTTTTAAAAAAGAACAGACCAGACGTAATAATATTCCATTCTGCTCTCTAGAGTGCACATGAAGGCCTGACCAACATCAGCTCTTCCCCGGGGGGCAGGGGCCTGAGCGTGAAGGCGCACACCACGCAAGGGGAAGAACGCGCTCCGGCACGAGGAGTTGGCCTCGATTCTCAAAACCATTCAAGCGTCTATTTCCAGGGGAGGATTTTCTATTAAAGTCTCCAAATGATTGAAATGTTTTTAAATGTTGACGTAGCTGGATGAAGGGAGGATTGTTAACTAATGGAACTGCTGGCAGTAATAACAGTGGCATTTCACATTAACTAAAACATGATCATTAACATCCTTCTCAGGCCCTCAGTGATAAAGCAAAAGGCTTCGGGGAGGAATGAAGTCAGATTTACGAGACAAGCTATCCGAAGTTCCTACACAACTACTGTGCACAGTTCTGGTCACAGCAGCTCATAAAGGCCAGCAGAACTGGCTGAGGAACAGAGCGAGGCTGAGCGCGCTGGGCGAGAGCGGAGGGCAGGGTGAAGGACCCGGCGCAGCCGGAGGCAGCTGTGAACGATGTCAGGAAACACTTCAGTCTGGGAAGGTCAAGAAAGAAAGGCTTAAAAGTGAGAGCTAAAAAATAATGAATGAGGAATTTACTATCAACTTGGGGGGCACCCTCCCGAGATGAATAAAAGGAAGTGTTAAAAATTAATAAATGGAACCACTTTGAACTGGAGTCGAAGCCACCACCCAGGGGAACTGCCTGTACATCTCGAGCTCAGACCCCTGGATCGTAAACACGGCAGACGACCCTGGGGCTGGGCCTCGAGCAACGTCCCGCCCTAAGGAACTGTCCGTCACACAACGAGCAAGCGGACAGCGTGACGATGGGCCTGAGATCACCTGACTGAAGACTGAAAACAGTGTGGAATCAGTGTCCCCGCTGAGCTTCCCTGCACCGACCGAAAGTCCTGCCTTTTACTGATGTAATTGTTCCCCTGCCCCAGAGCACACCTTGCCTTTGGCTCCTATTCGGGACATTATTGGGATTTTTGCCTGATTCACTGCTTCCCAAGTAGTTCTTCTTTTTTATCTCAAATGACTATCGCCTCTCACTTTGGCCTTTGAGGCTGACGTAGGTACTAATTTCTGTTGTTAGATAATTAAGAAGATTCTTGCTCTCTGACTTGGAAGAGGGTCAGAGAGGCCGAGGGAGAGACTGACTCAGGATGACGGACCCCAAACAAGGCAGGGAAGCCCGGAACGCTTGAGAAAGGCTCCGGACATGTTAAGGCAGCATCAGAATATGTGTTTTAAATAGAATGTTCTTTTGTATCCCTCTTACAAGCCAAAATCCAAGGTTGGAAGAACCATAGGTCCATCCCCAGGGGAATTCTGTTCTACCAAGAAGCACATGATTACTTTAAACATGACGAACCTGTTATACACACACTCTTAAGTGCAGGGGACCTAGGGACAAAATCACCCACAGTGGGGCTTACCTGGGGGGATACATAAGTCTCGGGGAACTCAGGGTTCATGGTAAGCAGCCTGGTGAGACAGGACCACTGTCCTTTTGTGACACAGCCCTTCCTGGAACTTCAAAGCTCTAAGGTTCCTACCCTCACATCCAACAGCTCCTGCCCAAGCTGGTACTGAGTTCTAATACTGGGGGTGGGTATTAAACACATTCAGAAGTTGGCATCGACTTGTACGATTCTGGATGTAATAGTGAGGGTGAACTCCCCCAAGGAATGTTCCAGAAGGTGTGTGCTGTCTTTTCTCAGTGCCCCTCTTCCTTGGGAGTGAGAGGTGAGGCTCAGGACGAAGGTGGGTGACAAGTACTTGAAGAGAGCAACCTGGACACTTCTGGTATCCTCCTCCCTGTCCCACAGAGAGCCACCGGTGACACAAGGAACGGTCCTCAAACTCCATTCCATCTTCTTGGCCATTTGGGTCTCCATTAGAGATTTTCTTTTTAATAACTATGACCATTCCTCAGTTCACTATGGTGTGTGGATAAACACCCTCTGGGACAGCACTGTCCCGCACCGCTAGCTCAGAGGTTGCGAATATCCCACACTGGGCTCTCCAACACGGTAACCACTAGCCACATGTGGCTGTGGGGCAATTAACATGTCACTAGTGAGACTGAGAAAATATATAATTTCAAGTAATTTCCATGTTAGATGTAAACAATCACATATGGCTAGTGGTGACCATACAGGGCAGTGAAATCCTAGATCAACTGGCTTCACAGGTTAGTGTGGATCTAAAGACTCAGTGACAAGAGCTCCTTCTCCCCAGAGCCACAGGTGCAACCTCCCACCTGGTCAGCTGCTTCAGGAATAAACATCGCTGTCACAGAGGGAACAAGGACACAAAGAAGGTCAAGAGCAAACTATCTCCACCACAGATGGGGCACATGAAATGCTTCCTCTACATAAATTATGAAAGTGTACTGCTTACCTTTTCTTCAAAATGATAATCCCTAAAATCATGTTGGCAATTAGAGAGCCCTGTGAAAGGAGACAAGAGCAAGCTTCAGTGCACGAGCGAAAGACGGTGTCATTCAAGACAAACACGAGCGCAGACAACAGGGAAAGGCAGCTGGGGAGGAAGAGGTTGGGATGATCCATTAGTAAGGTCCAGGTGTTCGTATAAGGGCAACAAGTATAAACCATGAAATCGATCTTGCAAAATAATAAAACTTTTTAAAGATGACAATGGAGAAAAAAATGATCAGTTCTCTATAGCCAGTCCTAGCTGAAGCTGTGGCTAGCAGGAATAAATTGTTAGACTTGTTTTTGTCAAATTTTCCATCTCCCTTACTTACGAGAGCTTTTAACAAGCTTCTTGCCGCTCAATGAATGAAAGGCGCACAGAGACCCCTCTTCCCTGGAAGGGTGTCTGTCTACCAATCACCGTGCACCTGCTGAAAGTCTGTGACGCGCTCAGCGCTCTGAAGGTCATCTGCATAATTAAATTAGCTCCAGAAAGTCCCTGCAGGAGCAGCGCACTCGGTCCCACAAAAATCTCAGACTGCACGGAAGTGTTACAGTCCCGACAATCACCCATTTGGTATTCTTCTGCGATCCTGTCTACACCCCCCTTGAAGTCTTTCCTGCCCCTTAGGGAAAACTGTTCTCATTTATATAAAAACCAAACGCAGATCTGTGGCCACACACGAGGCAACAAAACAACTTCTACTGCTGTCAAAGAAACATAAACATGTCTTCATCAAGAATTCCCCTTCATTTATCTCCAGTCTCTGCTTAAAAAAAGAAATCAGAAAAGGGTCTGCCTCATTTACTAGAAGTAAATGTAATTTTATGGAAGAAAGAAAAAGTGATGAGAAATAAATAACATGCGCAGCGAGTGTGACTGCGAAATCAACCAGATGAAAGGAATTAAAGGCAAAATCTGTTTCTCGGGAAAATTTTGACTTTCCTTTTACTCACCACCCACGAGACCTCAGGTAAGTCCCAGGAAACCACCCACGTTCTGGTTTCTCTCTCTCCGCCTCCCTTCTCAGGAGAGGGAAAGCCGGCCTCTGCCCACGCATCTACGAGACCTGCTCTCACACCCAGACACCGCTCGTTACGAGCCCTTTCCACCTCTGCCCGCGCGGTGCTTCAGGAGGAGCGCACTCACGTGCACGGCGGTACTCACAGATCTAAATATCATGTGCAGAGGCATGGCGATGTTGAGGTTCAGGGCGTAGTTGTTCACCACGCTGACGGTGAAGAACATGGTGACCATTGTGGCATAGTATCTGAAACGCAGAGGGGACAGCCTGTCATTACACAGAATCCACTGTTCATAGCAAATCAACTATAGATGGCAATATGCGTTTTTAGTTAAGAAGTATTTGGCTTATTTCCTCTTATACTAAGATTGTATCACTATTATCTGTTGAAGTCAAATAATAAGTATCTATAAAAATACTTCACAAGGCCAGACTAACATGGAAAAAGTTTAAATCATAGAGAATGCTTTCAGAAACAGTATTTTAATGTTTCCAGTATACATGGCAAATGAAAACCAGTAGTCTTCAAAACCGTTCCTTCCTAGACACCGATAGGTTTTTGCAAGTCAGTGGAGACAGAGAACATCAGCATCGTGGCAGAGTGAGCAGGCGCCATCATTTCTCCTCTTGTACTTACAAGTTAGACAGCTGTAACTCAGCCTGGGACCCTGCTCAACACACAGGCCTGACAGAGCCACACATCGGCCACCAGAAGGGGGTGCGCTAGAAGGAGCAGGGGTGGTAGGATGGAGCAGGGCAGGAGGGGAGGCAGCAGTCGGGTGCCCAGCCTGGCTCCAGCCTGCACACTGCACCCTGGAAGGGTAAGAGGGGCAGAAGCCCTGTTCTTCCTTCTGCCTGCCCCACTGCAGCAGAGCTGGCTACAGGTGGCTGGGAGACCCCTACTCTGAGGGGCTGGGGCGGAGCTATGAGACTGTGCACTTGCCTCCTCTGCCCCACAGACCCCGCAGAGCCTGGTAAAGCCAGGAGCACAGGGCAAAAACGCAGTCGCTCTGGGAGCGTGCAAACAAACCCAGTTCTCACCACGAGCCACCCCACCCCCATCAGAGCAGTCATGACCCACACCTGCGGTGAGCTGCGGACAGAGGGGACACCCGACATCTCAGTGGGTATAGGGCATCTTCCTTAACCTAAGCAATGCCACTCCACCGTGACCCCAGAGGCGTAAAGTGTGCACATAAAACAAAACCTGTACTGCAACTCCGGTCTTGGGGAAGGAAAAGGCAGCCTGCCTATGAACCTGCTGAACTGCTGTGAGCAAAACTGAATCCCGACAAGAGGCCACTACCTCCAATGCACACAGAGAAACGACCCACCGAACACCATGAACCACCGAGGTGACTGGGAGCACAGAAAGGAAACGAAAATTCTCCAGGAACCAAACTCAGAAGTCACGGCAGACTAATTTAAATGACAGAGAATTCAAGATCGCAGTTATGAAGAAACTCAACAATACACCAAAAACAAACTCGGGAAGACAGTCTAATGAGCTCAGGAATAAAATTAATGAACACAAGGAGTACTTTACCAGAGAGAGTCAAACTACAGAAAAGAAATTCTGGGGCTGAAGCACTCAGTGAGATAGGCATAAACTAGAGAGTACCGGAAACAGAGCAGGCCAAGATGCAAAAGAGAATTCGAGAACTTGAAGACAGAAACCTAGAAATGACCCATGAGGAAGAAGACAGAGGACTTCTGCCAAGATGGAGGCATAGGTGGATATACCGTGCCTTCTCACACAACCAAGTTTAGAGACAACTAAATATTAGCAACAAAAAACACAGCCAGAACACGGAAAATTGAACTTTTCGGAAGTCCGCTAACAACAAATTCTTCAGCCTGACCGGTAAGGGGCGAAACCAGCGGCTGGTGAAGCGGGGTTGCACAGGAAAACTCGGTCAGACGGACTCAGGCACGGAATCCAGATGCGCGGAATCCAGGCGCAGGGTTGGACCTAGTGAGCGACCGAGCCAGCGACCAGGCGAGCAACCTCGGGGGAGACAGCGGGGAAGCGGGGCTGCGTGTTGACTGTGGTCGCGCATTTGTGCGCGGGTGGACAGGCGAGGGAGTGGGCGGTTGGTCCGGGCCCGGCGGGTCCCCACGGCAAGCAGCAGTGGAGGGCACCGCCATTTCCCTGCTCTGACCCCACCTCCACAGACAGCGTCATAACGCAGCGACTCTGAGTGGCCCGGCCCAGGTGAACCACCTAAGGCACTGCTCCTCCGCACCCAGCTGTGAGAAACAGCAGAGGGGGTCGCCATTTCCCTGCCCTGACCACGCCCCCACATACAACGTCACAACCCAGCGACCTGGGAGTCCAAGGCTCCGCTTCTCACACTTAAAGGGCGCGAACAGACCAAAAATGGCGCAAGAAGATCTCAAAGCCCCAGAGCCTATAAATCTAAGCGATGAAGAAATAGCAAAACTCTCAGACGCACAGTTTAAAACACTGGTGATCAGGATCCTCACAGAACTGGTTGATTATAGCCACAAATTAGACAAATATATGAAGGCGAAACTAATTGAAATGAATGGAATTGCACAGGACACCAATAGCAATGAAAAGGAAACTGGGACTCAAATCAATGGAGTGGACCAGGAGAAAGCAAATAATGGCCAAACAGAAAAGAGTCAAGAAGCAAGAATTCAAAGAAATGAGGAGAGTCTTAGGAACCTCCAGGACATCTTTAAATGCTCCAACATCCGAATTATAGGGGTACCAGAAGGGGGAAAGGCACAGCCACCAGTGGAAAACGCATTTGAACAAATAATAAAGGAGAATTTCCCCAATCTGGCAAAGGAAATTGACTTCCAGGAAATCTAGGAAGCTCAGAGAGTTCCAAAGAAGTTGGACCCAAGAAGGAACACACCAAGGCACATCATAATTACATTAGCCAAAATTAAAATGAAGGAGAGAATCCTAGAAGCAGCAAGAGCTAAGGGGACAGTCACCTACAAAGGAGTCCCCATCAGACTGTCAGCGGATTTCTCAAAACAGACCTTACAGGCAAGAAGGGGCTGGAAAGAGGTATTCCAAGTCATGAAATCCAAAGATCTACATCCAAGATTGCTCTATCCAGCAAAACTTTCATTTAGAATGGAAGGACAGATAAAGTGCTTCTCAGATAAGATCAAATTCAAGGAGTTCATTGTCACCAAGCCCTTATTATATGAAATGTTAAAGGGACTTATCTAAGAAAAATATGAACAGTGAAAGGACAGCAAACTCACAGTTATTAACAACCACACCTAAAACGAAAGCAAACTAAAAGGACAGCTAGATCAGGAGTGGAAACATAGAAATGAAGATCTCAAGGAGGGTTAGCAACAGGGGAGTGGGAGGAGGAGAAGGGGGGAGAAGGTACAGAAAATAAGTAGCATAGACAGTAGATAGAAAATAGATGGGGGGGGGCAAGAATAGTATGGGAAATATAGAATCTAAAGGACTTGAGACACATGGACATAAACTAAAGGGGGGTAATGGTGGGGACGGGGGGTAGGGTGGAGGGGAATGAAAGGGGGAATAGAACAACTGTAACAGCATAATCAATAAAAAATTTAAAAAAAACAAAAAAAATTAAATTACATTAAATTAAAAAAAAAAAGAAGACAGAGAACTAAGAGTTTTTAAAAGAAATGAATCCACTCTCTGGATACATTAGAACCCGCCATCTAAGGGCAACAGGGACACCGGAAAGAGTGGAGAGGGAGCAGGGAACGCGGATCCTACCTAAAGCAACAACTGACGGGAACTTCCCAAGCCTATGGAAAGAACTGGATTTTAGAGTAGAGGAAGCCAACGCAACACCTAATTATATCAATACAAAGAAACCCTCTCCAAGACTCATCTTATTGAAACTGTTAAAAATCAGCGGCGAAGAAAGAATTCTCCAGGCAGCCGGGAACATAAAGACTGACCTTCAAAGGAAACCCATTATTACATTATCACCACCAGACTTTTCGGTGGAAACATGAAAGGCAGCAGAGAGTGAAAGAAAACATTCAAAATATTGAAAAGAAAGGAACCATCAGCCAAGGATAAGATACTCGGCAAAGTTATCCTGCAGCTATTAAGAAGAAATAAAGGCTTTCCCAGACAGACAAACGCCGGGAGAACTGACCACTGTAAGTCCTGCACACGAGAAATGCTGGAAGAAGCTCTTCTGTCGGAAACAAGTGCACAGATGCAGACGAAAACTCTGAACGAGATGACTTAACAGACAGGAGCAGGCAACCGAAAGTCTATTTCAGAACAGGTTATTAAACACTTCATTACAACATAATGGTTAAAGGGGGAAAGGGCATTAAAATAATTATAGCCACTGCAGTTTGGTAAGAAATGCACAACATCAAGAGGGATAATTTGTGACAACAAAAATCATCAAAGAGCAGGAAAAGCACTGAATGGGTAAGGGTGAATAAAGCAGCAATTACAAGAGAAAGGACTGCTGTTATGTATGAGACTCTTTACCCAATCCTAATGGTAACCACAAAACAGAAATCCAGGGCTGAGACACAAAACATTAAAAAAAAAAGAGAGAGAAAAGAAAAGAAAGAAATGGAGGGGGAAAAAACAGAGAAAACTGCCAGACTAAAATAGCAAATAGAATACCAAGGGGAAAGAGTCAAGGGAGAGAGAGCAACAAGGAAAGGTAAAGTACCTGTAATAAGTCTTCATATAAAGTTAATCACCCAAATTATACAGGGACCAAACTCATGAATAAAAACGCAGAAAGCAGGAGCATGGAGTGAAAAATAAGCCCCAGCTACATGTTGCCTCCAGGAGACTCGGCAAAAGGGGGGAAGATGACACTTCAAACAACTGGCGCCCAGAGGAAAGCGGGTGCAGCAGCACTTATATCAGACACAAGAGAGTTCAAAATTTTTTAAAAAGGTAACGAGAAACAAAGACAGACATTTTATCATGACAGAGGAGAGAATTCATCAAGGCAGCTCAATCACTTAATATATATGCACCCAACCTGGGAGCACGAGGTATGTACAGCAATCACTAACGGGCCTAAAGGGAGAAAAGGACAAAAATACAATTATTGCAGGGGCACGAATACCCCGTTGACAGCAATGAATAGATCACCCGGACAGAAAGTCAATAAGGAAATACCAGCCTTAAATGACACATTAGATCAAATGACCTTAATGATATTTATAGAACTTTCCATCCCAAAATGACAGCACACACATTCTTTTCAAGTGCACGTAGAACATTCTCAAGGGCAGACCATCTGCTGGGGCACCAAGCTAGTCTTGATACATTTAAAAAGACTGAAAACATACCAAATATATTTTCTGACCACAATGGTATGAAACAAAATTAACTCCCAGAAGAAAGCTGGGAAAAACGCAAATATGTGAAGATTTAACAACATGCCACTAAGCAACTACGGGGTCAAAGAAGAAATGAAAGAGGAGATCAAAAGATACAGACAGACGGCCCTGGCTGGGTGGCTCAGCTGGTTGGAGAATCATCCCATACACCAAAATGATGCAGGTTCAATTCCCGGTCTGCGCACATGACCTAGGTTACAGGTTCAATCCCTGGTCAGGGCACATATGAGAAGCCACTGATCAATGCTTCTAACATCAATGATTCCCCCCCCTCTTTCTCTCTCTCCCTCTCTTTCTCTAAAATCAATTAAAAAATATATATATATCCTTGAGTGAGGATTTAAAAAAAGATGAAGACATATGAAAACAAAAATACAACTTACCAAAATTTGGGGTACACAGAAAAAGCGGTACAAATGGGGGAAGTTCACAGCGTTACAGGCCTACCTCAAGAAACAAACAAACAAAAATCTCAAAAGAACCTAGCGTCACACATTAAAAAAACTAGGAAAAAAAAGTTCAAGATAGCGGCAGCACAGGGGGCGTCTGAACTCCACCCCTCCCTCCACCCCTCCCGTGAGTAAACTCAAACATACACACAGATACAGAACAATTACTCCTGCAACACAACTGCAGGCTGAATAAACAAACAGGGACAGAGGGAAGGCTGGCAGAGCCACGGGAACCCTCTGGGAGGGAGCTGCAGGAACTCTAAGGGGTGGAGGAGCCAGCGAGAGCAAGGGGGCAGCCAGGAGCTCTGGGCAGGCGCTTTGGCTCACCTGCAAAATCACAGCAGCTCTCCCAGCTCCACCGAGAACAAGCAGGAACAATAGGGTGGTACCGCCCACTCCTGGCCTCCTTGCTGGGTTCCGACGGGCTTCCCCAAACTGGCTGGTGCTAAAGCCCACACAGAGGTCACTTCTATGTTAAGACCCCCTTCTGTACAACAAACGAGAGAGACTGCAGAGAGGGCCGGCAGCTGCGGGAGCTCTCTGGAGACTGGGGATTAGGCGGGGTGGGAGGTGCCGGTGAGCAGTACCACTGCTGACCTCCCCCTCCACCTGCCAGCAAGGTAGCTAGACAATCACCCAAATCCATTTCAGCCCTGAACAAAGGGAGCAAAGAGGATCCACAGGCCATTACTATATGCACCTGGCTGCAATCTAAACATACAAAATTAGTAACAAAATTCAGCCAAGTCTCCTGCTGCGGATTTTTCTACAGCAAGCTACTCAGGTATGTTGCAAAACAACATCAACGAGGATGAGCCTCAACCAGCCCTTGCACGCATTCATACCAGCATGTCCCCTTCAAAGGGATTAATGACACGAGCCTATTGTAAATACTCACAAGGATGGGTTACACACAGATTTCAAGTCTCCGCAGCAAGCGTGCTGGGTTGCAACACACTGCTCATTATAAGAACTGCTGCTTTTTATTTGGACCCGTGAGCACAGTTCTGTAAATCTGGACTAATGGACAGAGGCCTAGAACCAACAATTTTGCCTTAGTCTGCCCATTTCTTTTAAGGTTTTACTTATTTTTAAAGAGAGAGGAAGGGAGGGAGAAGGAAAGGGAGAGAAACATCAACGGCTGCCTCTCATATGCGCCCCGATAGGGGACTGAACCCACAACCCGGGCAAGTGACCTGACCAAGAATCAAACCAGCAACATCTTGCTCTGCATGACGCCCAACCAACTAAGTCACGCCAGTCAAGGCAAATCATGTTCTTTTAATTGAGATGAAATTCACAACATAAAATCAATCATTTAAAGTAAACAATTCCGTGGCATTTATTACATTCACGACGTTGTACAATTGCCAAATCTATTTCCAAAAGCCATTTGTTTTTTAAAAGGAACAATGATACCACTCTTATCACATGTGATAACATACGACAGCATACATAACTATTTTAAAAAGTTGGTGACATTAGGCCTTTCACTGACCACATACTAGAGACATACCCACACACCGCCCACACTGACATATATGTACGTGGTCATCTCCACCACAGTGATTTGAAACGTTGTGGCAGGGGATTTTATTTTAAAATACATTGGAGTTTCACAACATAATTTAATCAGAAAATAAATGATTACTCTGCTGATATATTTGATACAAATCGTATCAAACAATGTCTCATATTCCTTTTCTGTAAGTGCCAGAAAAGTTCTTAACTTTAAAAAGGAAAAAAAGGCTAAAAGAGACTTCCACGTGCCATACCTTATTGGGATAGCTGGCCGCTTCGTTCCCAAGCGGGCTTCAAAGAGGAAGCCTTCCACGGCGATAAATAAAAATTGTGCAAATGTCACGATGTTCCCACATCCCGGGTGCTTCCTGTGCAGTGAACAACAAAAAGGCTTAAAACACCAGGACCGAGGCCACCATGTCTCATTACAAGGACAGCTCAGAGCAACAGGGAGAGTCCCCTTACGCACTGTCCCCCCGTTTTCATGCCCACGGGCCACAGGCACTTAGCAAAGCCCATCACAGAAGAACACCAAGCCTGCCTCGTTCTCCTGGAGGGGTGGCAGGCCATCAGTCAGGGTCACTCCGCTGCACTCCCTGCTGGAACTGTGACACCACTTTCCTTGTGAACTGTAGGGAGCTGGCCATATGTTCTTTTTGGGATCTTCAGTTAACCAAGAGGACTTCGGTCAGGATCCGGGTCAGCTTAGGCAGCGAAGCCCAAGGACAGAAATGGGCTCAGGCCTCCTAGAAAGTGTTGACAGATCCCCCTGACCAGGAACCTTCAAGAAAGATTCTGTCAGCCGAAGATTCACACCCACTGTCGATGGCAGGGACGTTACCTTAGCTCCCCTGTCGGCGCAAAAATTGGCTCCTGGGGTGGGGGGGAAATCTTACTATTATATAAGTATAAAGCACAGATATATGTACAGTACATAAACCCTATAATAGTGTATCTGTTGGGGAAAAAGGTCCAAAAGCGGGTCTTGGTGGGGGAGGAGAGGGGCAAGGAGCAATAATGGAAAAACTGAGGACGCAGCTCTGGTATGCTGTTCTCCACGCCTCTTAACACATACGCATCAGGCACGCAACAGTGTGCGTGAAGTTCAACCGAACCTCTCCAGGGGCCTCTGAGAGGGGCAGGGGGCCCTTCACAGGGGCTGTTAGGGAAAAAATTCACAAGCTAGGAGGATTCCTTCTGACATCCCCCCTGCGGTGCTCTGTGGAAATTCACTCCGTAAGATGTCTGAGGTTTTCCTGAGCTCGTCCCCCATTGGGCTCTGCTCCATCAGAGGAGGGAATTCAAAGCCAGCAGTTGTCTTTGTTTTTCGGGAAGCTCCCAGGTTTCCCTTATTAGCGACATTGCCATGTGACGAAATTCAGCCTTCCTAGTTTGTATTTTCACCTTCACCCAAGACATTTACCCAAAGCTAGTGACTACTGATGTAATTATATTACTAAATATCAATATAATGCTATTTATTAAAAACTCCATCCTGTTGATAGTATTGATATTAAATAGCAGTGCCAAGCATGCGGATTGTTAAACACAGCCATCGAGCGCAAAAATAAAGACCTCCAAGTGCCAGCCATGCGTTTTTGTTTTTTGAGATTTTGTTTCATTTTTTTGATTTTGCAGTTTTCTTACTTTATTATTTTCTCTATTTATTTTTATATTTTATTGATTATGCTATTACAGTTTTCCCACTTTTCCTCCCTTTGCCCCCCTCCACCCAGCATCCCCACTCCCTCAGGCAGTCCCCACACCATTGTTCATGTCCATGGGTCATGGTTGTATAAATTCTTTGGCTACGCAATTTTACACTGTACTTCACATCCTCATGGCTATTCTGTAACTACCTATTTGTATTTTTTAATCCCCTCACCACCTCACCCATTCCCTCACACCCCCTCCCATCTGACAACCATCAAAACACTCTGTATCCGTGATTCTGTCTCAGTTCTTCTTGTTTGCTTAGTTTGTTTTTTAGATCCGATTGTTGCTAGGGATGTAGTTGTTGCCGTTTCACTGTTCATTGTTTTGGTCACCTTCCTGTACAGAGTGCAGCATACCACCTGAAGCAAAACGGCTGCTACTCTGTACGACCCAGTCAATGCAATGACTTCTTTAGCACTTTTTATGTTCAAGGGACAGGGCTAAAGGTTGTAGGAATCCATAAATAATCATTTGTAAGACATTTACCTCATTCAAGGAGCTACTAAAACCATTAGCCTCAGTATGAGCGACAGGAGAAGGAACTTGAGCTGCAGATGGGTAGTTCCCAGCAGACTCTATGCAACTCTGTCTAGGCCACTCTTTAAAAACCATGCGCCTGGGGGGCAACACCCCCCACCGCCCCCAGAGTGGACTGGGCTGGTCTGGGGTAAGGCCCTCAAACCTGTCCTTCTGGAAGCTTCTCACTTGATTCTACTGTGCAGCCAGGCTGAGAACCACGAGTGTAGGTCTGGGGCAAAGGCTGGGAGGCACGCACGCGTGCGTGTGTGTGTGTGTGTGTGTGTGTGTGTGTGTGTGTGTGTGTGTAAGATGCACAGGTAATTCTGATATGCTGGCACAGGGTTGAGAACAGCTGTGCTCCACAGTGGCTAAAAGTACATGGTGACATGCAGGCTGCAGCTCTGTCACTTACCCTGGACAGTGGAAGTTAATTGCCCGATCTACATCCGGTTTTCTTATTTTTAAAATGGGACACCGGTATTAGCGCCTATCTCACTGGTTTCATTGCACAGCAAATAGGCCAGGCCCTGAAAAGCACTTCCCCTAGTGTCTGCTGTGCAGGGAAAAGGCAAAGACTAGAACTCCTGGACCACCAACCTGCAGGACCTTGCCTACCATACTAGCAGGTCTTCGGCTGAAGTCTAGTAACCTTTTAAAAGATATTTATATGTTGACCATTTTTATCAACTGTAAGACAGAGGTGACGTACAATTAACATTCTAGGGAGGATTCAATGAGAAGACACACATAAAGTGCCAAGCCACAACTTAGCCCAACAGGGGTTAAGCTTCCTTGCTTTCCCTTCCGTTTGCTCTCTACCAAAGCCTAGGCCGGTCCAGCTGAAGAACAATCACGGGGCGGCTGCCAGGAAGCTCTCGGCGTGAATGAGCCCTGACCCCTGCCCTCAAGATGACAATGTGTGAGGGAGCCACACCTGGAGCATGAGGCAGTGAGAAGCCAGCGCCATGGGGGGCTGGTTCCGGGTAGCGCTCCCACTCTGGGCACAGCGTGTGGCCTTCACGCAAGCCCCTGAATGAATTGGGGACGCCTCATTCGATGCACGACTGTGATCTAGAATATTAAAATTGTACAACAGAGAGAAAGTAACCATTTCTTTTTTTCAAAAAATGATTCGCCTTGCAAGTGTATTCTCCATTACTATTTTTAAAAGGCATCATAATTATTAGTAATTTTATCTTTATTTTTAGGGAGGCAGGTGTTATTACAGCTATTTCACTGCTAAAGACACCCAGGGCCACGTGGCACCGACTCAGGTAAACCCCCAGGGACACGCGGCAAATAAACGGCTTGCAGGCCCCGTCACTGCCTTTATTATTACTCACACAGGGCAGTGGGGGGGTTGTATTCAGTGTCTGGAGCCACGCAGCCAGCACCACTGTGTAATTCTGGCGCATCTCCGAAAGAAACCCCACACCCACTGGGAGTCACTTCCAATCGTCCCCTTGACAACTCCAGTCTACTTTCCCTATTTCCGCAGGATTTTTAAAAATCCTTCATTTATTTATTTTTAGGAAGAGGAGAAAAACATTGGTAAGTGAGAGAAGCATCAATCAGCTGCCTCTCGCGTGTCCCCTCCTGAGGACCTGGCCCTGGACCCAGTCCTGTGCCCTGACCAGGAAACGAATCTGTGACCCTCCGCTTGGCAGGCCAGCGCTCAATCCACTGAGCCACGCTGCCCACGGCTCTATTTCCATAGGATTTTTAAATATCCCCAATGCAGTCACATAATTCAATTTTTTAAAAGTCAATTTACAAAGCTTTTTAGGAACATACTGTTAGAGAGAGACACATATTTATACATCACTAACTGCAAACAGGTTTCTCTGACTTTGCATTCTCTTTGGCAAGAATCCACTTTTTTTTTTTTTTTTAAAGCAACTTTGAAGAGAAATAACTGGACAGATAGTGTAAGCCTTTTGTTATCACTTATTCTAGATTTGGGAAACTTTTCTATAAGAGTTAGCATTAGGCACGTGACTGAACAAAGGGAAAATAAATGTTCCGGGCTGTTTCCTCCTGGAAGACGCACGACACTCTGCCCACTCAGTCAGCTGACGCGGACCCCGGGCTGTGACGTCACGTCTGCTCCTAATGCCCCTCTGCGCCCCTCTGTGCTCATATTCTATTTCAGACCCCAACCACGGGGAGGAACATCCACAAGAGACACCCACACTGGTCTTCCGGTTTGGGGGAAGTGATTATACATGGCTGCTTCTCCCTGCAAGTCACTGTAGCATTTGCATTTATACTAACAGTGTGTTCCGCCTGCCACTTATTAGTGGGAGTTCCGCCTCCCAGGGTTTCCCAGGGAGCCATATAAAAAGCACAGTTCCTGCTCTATAAAAAAGTTATGAGCTGTGATGTCCCAAGATGAAGTCCCAAATTCTGAGGCCAAAACTAAAAAGACCTTTCAAGACCATCTAGTCCAACCAGCTCTTATTTTATTGCTCTGTCACATGAGAAGCTGTGAGTTGCCCAAGCAAATCAGGACAAAGCTGCTATTTGGTGTGGTGTACCATCCCTTAAATCAATGAATGTAGCCCTCACCATCTTATGGAAACCCATTCCGGATTTATGAGCCCTCTGTAAGTAAAATTCCAGATTTGCATTAAAAGATAAGTGAAGGATGACTATTCACAAGTTATTTCAAAGTTCTAAATAGACCCTCCCACAATGTGTGAAAACATGGTTGTACGAGTAAAGTTAGATTTAGCCACAACACCCCAGGAACAAATTCATACGACAAGGTATACCTGTACCAAAGTAAAGGTTTTAGAGAGGAAGCCCATCTGTGTGTGCTTCAGGCTGTGCACGTGAATCTCATTTAATCCTTCAAAACCACGTGAGGCTGGTCTAACCATTACCCCCGGTTTCACTGTTGACAAAACAGATTCCAGGAAACCAAGTAATTTAGACAAGGGCTCATAACTAGTAAAGAGTGCCTTCAGCTGCGACCATAACTGGCATCACACAGCCTTTGACAAGATTTAACTTAATGCACAGGTGGCAAACAGAAGGCCCGTGGGCCGAATCCAGCCCTCCACCTTGTTTTATCCGCCCCGGCACCTTGTTTTCTACCCAGTGGCAGCGCTGAGCTCTCGCTTACCTGTTAAGGAGTAAGTTACCTGTATACAGTCCTAACATTGCATTCGGCCCTTTGAAGGCAACCGCGAGGCTGATGTGCCCCCTGGTGAAAATGCATTTGACACCCCAGATTTAATGCATATTCCAACACAAATATTACACCTTTATTTGGCTGGTCTGACTTTATCACTTTTTTATAGTTTAAAATCGATTTTCAAAGAAACTTTCCTTTGAAATGTACCAGCTTACAGCAGGATCTATTTTTTCCCATATCCCTCACCACCTACTCAAGAATGTCAAATGACAGATCTTGATCAACATTTTCTGCCTGACAAAACTTCAAGCTCGGTAACTGCAAAAGTTAACCCCGCACAGAGTTCACCTTAAATAAACTGGTTGCTTCAGAATGACTTCATGAGTGGCAGCAGGAAAATAAAATACATTTCTGGCAGGTACCACATGAGGAACTGGGTGAGCAAAACCTATAGGCTGCTCAAGTTCAAAATGAAGAGGGAGGATGAAAATGGTCTTGGACGAGGAGTTCAGATATCCCGGATCCCAGGTCTGCCTCTGCCACTTCCAAGTAGTAAAAGACCCTTTAACTTCTTAGGAGCTGCTTCATTTCCGGTAAAACGGAAATGATAATTCTAGACCTGTCTTGTACGTGGGTTGCTCTGATAGCCAACGAAGATAAACTGTAGACTCAAAAACACGGTGGTGGAGAGCACCGCAGGTGACATTTTACAGCAGGAAAAAGGAGGCCCCGAGAGGCTGAATGATTTGAAAAGGTCACACAATCAGGGTATGGCAAAGCCAAATACGAAGTTCATCATTTTGAGATTTTTAGTGCTGAGGCGTTTCCGGGACACCTGCTGCCTTTTCTGTAGCAGTTCCTACTCCCTGAACTTTGCACAGTACTCAACATTATTTGCATACCATCTCAATAAAATGAACCCAGACTGCTTCTGCTAATGTTCCTAGCCATTCTGTTCTTTTCTTTTTTTGTAGGAACGCTGCCTTGATAACATATAAATTTTGGTGTGCAACACTAGAATTTGACATGTTTGTAAAACCTTGTGCTCACCACCAAAAGTCTAGCTACCCCATTCATCACCCCCTTGACCTGTTTTGCCCTCCCTTCACCCCCCCATTATTAAACTGAATCTACTGGGGTGACATTGGTTAATGAAACCATACTGGTTTCAAGTGTACAACTCAATAAAACATCATCTGCACACTGCATCATGCGCTCACCACCCACAGTCAAGTTCCTTTCTGTCCCCATTTATCCCCCACCTTTGCCCACCTTCCCCTCCCCCCACTCCCCTCTTCCCCTCTGGCTATCACCATACAGTTGTCTGGGGCTATGTGTACTTTATTTGCTTAACCCTTTCACCTTATCACCCAATCCTCCAAGCCCCCACCCCTCTGTCAGCTGTCAGTCTGTTCTATGTTTCTGTGCTTCTGTTTCTTTGTTTTGTTGATTAGATTCCACATATAAGTGAGATATGGTATTTCTCTTTTTTTTTTACTGGCTTATTTCACATGATAATCTCCAGGTCCATCCATCTTGTCCTAAAAGATAGGATTTCCTTCTTATTTACAACTAGGTAGTATTTCACTGTGTAAATGTTCCCCAGCTTTTTTTTAATCCACGCCCCACCCCCAATCTTAGTTAATAAGGTTACATCTCAAAACTGTAAAGACTAATACGTATCTTAAAGGTGGAAATGTTGTCTTGAGTCAGTAACACGGACCTTACACATAAATAAAAATTGATTCTGCTCCATCACTGAGGGGAAATGTTTGGGCCAAGTACTCATGCCCGCCTGTCTGCAAGGGCAATAAAAAAATGCTGTGCGGGCCACTTGAATACACATAAAACTTTCTTTGCAGCGTGTACAAAATCAGGCTGCCTTAGTAAATCGAAAAGGTTTGCTCAAGTCAAACGTAGCATTATTACCAGAAAGGAAAAAAGGAACTGAAGAAACCTAGCCACGAGTTCCCCGGCCACCTGGGGCCAGCCACGTGAGAAATTCTCCAGATTTAACCCCCCCCCCCCCCCCCAGTCCGTGCAGAAGTGTTGACAACAACAGCCCGCGTGTTTCCTCGGAGAAACGCTGTGAAACTATTGGGCGGGAAAACGGGTCGTGCGCAGGGCGAAGGAGCGGTCGACTCAGCGGGGTCCCAGGCAGCGAGAGCCCAGCGGCTGGGGCTGTCCCACCCCGGTTTCCGCCCCGGTGTGGTGGTGCGGGGGGAGCGCGAGGGGAGGGACGCAAGGGGACGCCTTTCCTCCGGCTTCCTCAGCGCAACTCCGGGAATCGGGCGCGGCCCGCGGGGGTCACTCACCTCACCAACAGCTCTAGGAAGATCACGTTACTGCAGCAGCCTGCGAAAACCAGGCCCACCGCGCAGAGCGGGTGCATGCCGGTAACGGGGAAGGGGGGCGAGCGCGCAGAGGAAGCGCCTGCCTATACCACTACCCCAGGTAGCCGAGTTGCAGCCTCAGCCGCGGCACGGAACATCGCCTCCACCCCGGAGCGGAACTCTACCCCGGGGCTGCCGCTCGCACCCCTTCCTCAGCTACCGCGGCTAAAGCCTCGGGCCAAGAAGCTGTAGTTCGCGGTCAGCCCCGGACCCATTCATCCGAGGGGGCGTCCTAGGCCCGGCCAGACTACGTATCCCAGCAGGCCGCGCGCCCTTACGTCAGGCTGGGACGTGTCCAGCTTCTGCTGGGCGCCCCTCACAGAGCGGGGGCGGGGCGTGGTAACCATCAAGCCCCGCGCGATTAGAAGCCGCGAGGTTCACTGGGAAGTGAAGTTCCAACCTTGTCGATGTTTCTTAGGTGTCCAAGGGTTCAGAAAGGTTTTCGTGCATCACTATCTCAACAAACACTGCTGGTGGCACTAGAGCTACAGATCTGTGACTTAGAGCTGGGGGCATTATGGCATCTAAAACAACTCTGAGTTGAGTGACAATAGAACTTCCACTGAACGTACTTTTCTACCTTTTGAAAGGAACACTGGACTCAGAAGGTTCTGGGATTGATTCTTGGCTCAGTTACTAATCAGTCCTGCTATCGCAAGCAACTTCTTTGCGCCTTAGACTCATCATTGTTAAAAATGGGAGCAGTAATGCCAGTCTTACTGCTTGTTGTGAGGGTTACAAGCTATGATCACCTGAGGATCTGGTTAAAATGTTGATTCTGATTCACTACAACTACAGTTTGCCCTGAGATTCCGCGTTTCTAACAAGTTCTTGGGTGCTGCCATGCCTAAAGAGCAGACATCTATAAAAACAGTTGACGCTGGAGATTTCTGTACCCTACCCCTCCCACTGACTCGGGAATCTCCCGCCACCCAACTTCTCCTTAGTCTCCTCCCTCCCCTTAGTCTTACCACCATGCTCAAACTAATTTATCTTGTTCCTTCACTTCACCACCAAATATCTTTAAAGGGTAATCTATGTTCGTAGTCTTTGCTTTTTCACTCGGATCAAAGCCAGATTTTTAAAAATTGTTTCATTTAGAGTTCTGACCTCCTAATTGTCAAAACCATATACATCAGGTGCTTGAATAATGTGTTTCATTCAACACCATTTAGTTGTAATGTTGATGAATGCCCTTAGAACTTAACTCTTGCTTTTATCAATTAGCCTGTGGCAAAATTGGTTACATTGTTTCACTTAAAGTCTGAGTTTCCAAGAACCTATCAATGATGTTAAGTGAGAACTTACTGTACCGTAGTCTTACTTGATCTTGCAAATGGATTTTTACAATAAAAAGTCAGTCCTTCTGATATTCTCTTGTCCTGCTGTTTATAAGACACAGGACTCCTCTTTCTCTTCTCTGACTTGCCATTTTCAGTTCTTTGCAGGCTTCTCCTCCTCTGCCCACTGAATTCCGCTCCAAAGTTCTGTTGTTTGTCCCCAACTTTTATTACCCTAAATACACTCTGTAGGTGATCTCCTCTCCATAACGTCAGCCATCACCATGTCACTGATCCTGCATGTACGTATATGTACAGCCCCACTCTCCCTCATGTCTCAAAAACTGACGTTTCCAACTGCTTATGTGACACCTCCAACAATGTATTGTGAGGAAGGGAACTTCCTGCTCCCAAAAGCTTTCTGTGTACAGCTTTTTAATGCACCCTTCACAGCTCCCTCCTCCCTATCTCCAGCACTCCATCCATACCCAAACCATTCCAGAAATCATGGCGCATTGTAGTTATCAGTTTTCATGTCAGCCTCCCTCCACCCCTTCACAGACAGGAGCCAAGAATAACTAATTCATCTCTAGATCCTTAGCATTAACTACAGTGACTAGTATATGTACCCTTGTTGTTGCTGAATCAATGAATGAGCTTGACTTCTTATTTGAGCAAAGTAATTCACACCTCATAAATTCAATAAATATGTAATAGCCCAAATGAACTTAGCCCAATGAACTTAAATATGCAAACATCAAAATGCATTGTGCAATGAATTTTCATAAGCAATAACATAGAACCAGGACCCCGGCCAAAAAAACAGAACATTACCAGCATCTCAGAAGCTCCCTGTTCCCTCTTCCAATCACAAATCCTCTCTAGGAATAACTACTTCTCTCACTTTCTAGCACCAGAGATTAGTTTTGCCTGTTTGGAGACTTGACCTACATGGAATCCTACAGAATATTCTCTTTGGTTTCTGCTGCTTTCACTCAACATTAAGTTTGTCAGTTCACCTGTGTTGTTACGTGTGTTTGCAGTTCATTCATTGTCATTGCTGTATAGCATTCCCTTGCATGAATATACCACAATTTATTTGTCTCTTCTCCTGGTGATGGAGAGTTTGTCTATTATAACTAGTGCCACTCAGAAACTTCTTGCACATAGCTTTTGGTGAACATAAATACACATTTCTGTTGGATATCAGTATATTAATCCAGGTCCAGTCAGAAAACAGAAATCACCAGTAATCTGAACAGGGAAAGTTTCATATAAAGAGCTATTAATTAGTAACAGAGGATTAGTTACTACAAGGGACTAAGCAGCTCCCAAGATTCCAGGGAGAGCAGATATAAGGAGCAGCCTATCGTCCAGGACTGCCACAGACTACCCAAGGAAGTAACAAATTGGAAAGAGGGTCTTCTCCCCTTAAAATGGAGATTCGGGTCTTACTGAAGGTTTGGCTGTAGCCATCTGGCTAGCAGAGAAGTTCAGTGAGGCGCTGGGAAAACTCACACCTCTGGAGTCCAGCAGGGACAAGGGCCAATTTCTCAGGAAGCTGCTGGCGGGGTATTGTACTCTCTAGGAAGTTGGCTGGGGCTCTGGTAGAACCCTCTGGTGATCCCCTGTAAGGGTACTGCTGAACTCACGCCAGTGAGTGCCCAAACATACCGAACACGCCGGAACCGAGAAGACGGGCCTTCCTCCCATCCGGCTCCTGCAGCGCCCTCCCTGGCGGAGCTCGGCATTGCGCCACGCGGCCGCGGACCGTGTCCACGAGACTTAGCTTCTGCAACACTGGCCAGGCCGCGAAGCATAGATATGGAGCTGAAAGGCTATAAAATGGACAACTGGAACGCAATGGGCTTTTTCTGGGGTTATTTCAACTTCGGTAGCATAACTGTTTCATCATAAAGCCAAAGTTATGAAGTATAGGCATGGCTTCATCTCCTATACTTTTTTCCTTCCTTTTCCTTTCCCTGAGTTCCAACTTCTAGCATCTTTGAGTAAACAGCATCTTCTTAGACGGCAGCTGGGCGCACCCTGTTTAAACCTTTGCACAATCCTCTTCCCTTGTGAGAAAGGACCCATTGCTCTGCGGGTGCTCCTCGTCTTCGCCCCCATGTTGCAGTGGTCAAGGGTTTTCTTCTTCTATTCCCAGCCACTCAGACATATTTTGAATCATTTATAAAATCCACTTAATCTAATTGTTGACCAGAAACTTAGGTGAGATGACTCCTGCAGGAGACTGCTCAACGAGGACGTGTCCTCACGTGGGCAGTCCTCCAGAGATTTGTCATTTTTTAAAAAACTTGTTTTCCACAGGTATTACATGAAGATGATTTTTTTTCTCTGTACATCACATAAATCTCGAGGTGCTTGGCGCTGTGCACAATAAAGATACTTAAGTGTGTGTAAAGCCAAAATATTGTTGTCACTGGTTTCATAAGTCAAATTCAAGCAATGCCCCAGTGTACTGATAGACTTATATAATCTAGCTTCTTCAAGAATGTTGCTAAAAGAAAGATGTTCTTTCTCAGAGTACTATAGTTTAGGCACATGGAGTTTGGATTTAAGAAGGAATTCTCTACCAGAACGTTAGCGGCACAAGGTCAAGGATGTCAGCCACAGTATCCTCCAAATTTAGATGGCATCTGGCTCTCATAAATGCTCAGTAAGTAATGGTTGGACAGTAGGAAGGAAGGACAGGCAGATGAGGTTGGGATGCAGGAGGAGGAAGAAGGACCTTCAGCAAAACCAGGTCCCTTTTTAGGGACCCTCACACATGGGGCAAGAAAGGGATTGCAAATGGTCCCAGGCCTGAGAGAACGTGCGAAGTAGAACAGCCACCCAAAGGAGCCGTCCTCAGGGCCCAGGCCGTGGGCCAGCTCCTGGACACAGGGACCCCCTCTGCTTTACCCACGAGGTTCCCCTTCACTGCTGCTTAACTGACGTTTGTCAAATTGTGTTACTGAATTGAGATGGCAAATGTAAATGACTCTGAGGCAACAGACGCTGTTATACCATGTACCTATGGAGAAAGAACGATGTCAGAGAACCAAGTTTTTTATACCAAGTGTGACATGTCTCGAAGTTATTGACTTCGCTTCCTCCTCCCTGCCATAACTCGAAATATGTTAAGAGCGGAGAAAAAAACACAAGATCATTTAATTTTAATTTTCTCACACTGGTTCTGTCACCATTTTCCTGTCTCCGGTATTCAGTGTATGTGAAGATGTCACTAACCCACGCACTGAAACATGCTCTGATCTGTCCCAGGGGGCGACTGCTTCCGTTCATAAACGCCTCCACACATAGCTCATCTATTCCTCCATCCGTTATGTGGTGGAAAAGGGTTATTATGCACAGGAAAAACTCTGAGGGTCAAACATATTAAACGTCTTTCCTGAGGCCCACAGATTTGAATGCACCAGGCAGGTGAGCTCCCAACAGGCAGTGGGACCAGGCAGGTGAGTAAATGTGGGACACTGATTGCAAAGCACGGGCGTCTTGTTGGGGGACTGGAAAGTGTAAGCACCATTTGGAGATTTTCAAATTCACGTTAAAAAATAGTATTTTTAATTGTGGTGACACACCCATAACAACATTTGCCATCGCAACCATGCTTACGTGTACAGTTTAGTGGCATTGAAGGCATTTCTTTGCGTTGCTGTACGACCATTGCCACTGTCCCTTCCCAGAACTCTTTCCATCTCGCAAAACTGAAACTCTGTCCCATTAAATAATCACTCACCCTCCTCTCCTCCCCCATCCCCGGTAAACCACCGTTCTCATTTCAGTGTCTTTGAATTTGATGGCTGTAAGTACCTCATGTAAGCAGACTCCTGCAGTATTGAGTACTTTTGTGGCTGGTTCATTTCACTTAGCATATTGTCCTCAAGGTTCATCGGTGGTGTAGCATGGGTCGCAGTTGACTTCCTTGCCAAGGATCAATAATATCCCATATGTACCATGCT